CCGACAGCATTAAGGTTAAAATGGACTGGCATGTCAGCAATGTTTAAGGCCTCCTCCTGGGTGGTGAGTTGCCCCAGGAAAGGCTTTCTTTCCTGATGATGTAAATAAGGCCTGTGTCAAGAAGGGGATGAAAAGAGGAGCTCCTGGGTAGTAGCAGTCAGTTCTCCCTGTCCTATTGGCCTATTACAGTTTTCAACCTGGATCTAAACATCGAAGGGATGAGAGAAAGCTGTTGGCTTATGAAGGATAAACAAAGAACCAAACTAATTACCACAGTACCACCAAAAACAAGGTGATAGCACACTGGGATAAGAATTCAATCTTAAGAGGCACAGAGGTTTAAGCTCCTTCTGTTTTTCCCAGGTAGAAAGGTTTAACTTATAGCCCTATTGCAATTTTAATTGCCTACAGACAAGGCTAAATAATTAATGATCAAACTACAGGTTGTGAGGAAAAATACTATGGTTTATTTTTAAGGAGAATTACATCATGGTGTTGAAACTATCATATGACTTGCTTTTGGACTGCACAGGAAGTACTTTTTCTTTTTTTGCAAATTGCTTTTGTTGGTATGATGACTTATAGTTTAACATTATTAGAAATAAGATGATAAAATAGTACTTTCTATTATTTTACAACTAGCTCATGCCAGGTTTCAGACATGTATATGGTACGTATATGGTTTATCTTTTTATTTTTCTGAAATGGCTACAGAACAAAATGATTATATAATCTATATCTTATACTAGAAATGTTCAATGATTTACAACAGCATTTTAAGAAGTATTATCCTCCCACTAATTTACAGTATGTTGGCTGTGTGACACCTTACTGGTGCTTAACTACACCTTGCCTTAGCACTGGTAAATACAATTTTAGTACTACACTTGGATTTGCAATGTAATGCAATGTATTTTATTTTATACAAATTAAATACAATATAAACATTAACCTTTAAATGTTTATCACTATTTATTGTCTATTTTGAATTTTTTGTATACATATATTTTTATAAATCCAGAAGTAGTTTTTGAACAAAGTGCTGTACCATACATTGAACTTTTTAATCCATATTCTTTTTTTTAATAATTGATCTGTTGCTGAATACATGGATGTTTTATGTAACATCATTTCCAATAGGAACATTTGTTTTCTACCACGAGAAACAAATACATTATCCAACTGCAAAAGTATGGAACATTCAAGTATTTACTAATGTGCAAACGCTTCACAAATTTAATTTATGACACTGAATTATCTAAATGCTTTCCAGCCCACTTCAGCCACAGTGATTACCATTTGAACTTCTTCATCTTTTGGAAGATATATTGACTGAAGTCTCTGTGGTATAATACTCAATTGCTTTTGTGCTAAAATCATCTCAGATAAAAAAATAAAAATATGATTTTGACTCCCCTAATTCACCCTTTAAAGCTTTACAAAACGTATATTTTAGTGCAGAAAAATATTCATATGAATGTAAAACCTTTTTTTTCCAAAGGCTGTAAATTGTTTTTGATTATTCTGATCGGAATTACCTCTACTGTTCATGCTCTAACATAAACAATTTTCTGTTATTTAATGTCTGAACGTTTTGTAACCAGTAATTACTTTTTAATATAACTACGTTTTACATATTTTCACTCTTATCAAGTATAATCATTAAATACAGCATGATAATTTAATCTTAAAATCCTTACAAACCTATTAATTCATAAACTGTACATCTAGGCCATTTTATTACAGTTTATATGTAATTTAATATAGGAGTAAATTATCTTTACTCCTAGAAATGCTGTTAGAATTTGGTGCTAATTTTTGACCTACAGGGGTCAGTATTATCTATACTGAGTGAATCTGAAAGCATCGTTCTGCTTTCAGATAATAGGAATTCTTAAATTGTTTCTTCAGAAACAAATGCGAGGACAATGCAGTCACTTGTTTAAATAATTTCTTAATTAAAGATGGAATTGATTTTTTAAAATGGTTGTTTTAAATTGATGCTTAATTTTGAGTTCCTGTTTAGTGTAAGTAGTTATTAGTTTAGGACAATGCACAGCTGTCCAAGGAATCAATGTTTTGAGAAACATACTGCTAGAAACCAAAAAAACAAACTGGAAAGATACAGTACACTGCCAAATACACAAAAGTAACGCAATGAGTTATATTGTGTTTAAGAAACACTTATCCCACAAATTTCAGCAAAATAAGAGGGGCAGCTGAGTAAGAGCTTGGTCTTCAGGTATATCACAGTGACAAGAGCCTTCAAGGCATACCTATTGTTAAAAAAACTCCTTGTACACTTAAAAATAAAGAAGACATGTCAGCATAATTAAAGGGTTGGGGGGGGAGAAACATTGCTCACTTTGTGTTGTTCTGCACAGTTGTCTGGAAAGCATTCTTTTCCCAGTTTATTCGAAGTAATTACTATGCTAGATACACATAAACAGAATGGCACTTTTCTTAACAACCAGTTTCTCCCACTGGGTTTACTTTTGGAAACTCTCATCATTGAATATATCCCAACTACACCCTATATAGTATGGTAAAAACCTCTTCAATACACACTGAAAATATAATTAAACACCAACACCTGTGGGATATAAACTATTTTGAAAATGTTTCTGTAATTTACTTCTGTGGGCAGCTTGGTGCTGTTACTGTATATATGATTATATATCTATCCTGTCATGTACTTGTAGAAAGGAATCAGTACTTGTAAAGGAATTTGAATTGAAACAATGTTACCTATATACTGTATAAGAGGCATTTCTAATAGCTTGTCAATCTTCGTACAGCACAATTCTAAACTAGAACCACACTACAATAAAAGCAATGTTTTATTCTTGACTTTTAAATTAAGGTTACTTTTCAAATACAAATGCTTTTGTTTTTATTTCATTGGATTTTTAATAACATGCATTCTCATTGTTTTTCTTAAGGATAATATTTTAGAGTTCATTATTCTTCTCAATGAGAAATCACTTATATGGTGCCTTCATACTTTACATAATTCATCACTCATCATAGTAGCCCTGGATTTATACCTTTATGTGATTGATTGTATCATTTTTATTGTCACAAAAAATAACTTACATTGTTGCATTTAATATCCATGTAATTTTTAAGGGTGCTATGTATTCATGATATGCTTGCATTGAACCTTGCATAAGAGTAAGATAAAATTTTCTGATTATATTATTGTGACTCTCCTTTTTCTGCTGTCAATGGGACTATTGTAGGACTGTTTGTCTGGATCTGTATTTTACATTATAATTTGTTGCACAGATGGTTTTTGTTACATTGTTTTTTTCACTGTGAACCATTACTTATTAGCAGAAAACAATTACCATTTTAACCATTTTAGTAAAGACTATAAATGACAATGGAAAGGCAAGGGAAGTAAAATACAGTTACAATATTTCATATGCACTGAAAACAAGTAAACAAAAGCTAAATAAGATAGAATGTGTTTAAAACTTGATTACAACAGCCACATACATAAATGTCATTTTATTTAAAGTCATGATCTTTATTCTTGGAAAGATTCAGTAAGTTCTACATTTCAATAATGTAACATGCTAAAATAAAATAATAAATGCAGGAACTCTCCTAAATGTGGCTGACATAAGGATCTGGCTCTGAAACAGTAGTTTGGTGATGCAATTCATTGACCTAGACTGTGAATATTTTTTTAAATACTTCTGGTTTTGCCTGTGTTTGAAGTTTGTCTTATTTGACATCTGTGGTCACAAACATATGGATATGATTTGCATAGCGCCGTACCTTCTCAAAGCACAACTTGTATCTTTTTAGATATTATTTTATTCAAAGGCTTCCTTTATTTTCAAACATATACCAGGTTTCCATCATAGGCTGAATGTTTAAATTCCATAATTAGAATTCTAATTGCCTTAGCATTTAAACGTCTTTTTTCACTTCAATATTATAGTGAAGCAGGCAACAAGCTTGCTTAAATAACATAAAAAGCACACCTTAATTTACTATTTCTGTTTCGTCAGTTTCTTGTAGGTACATTTACAGTATATTCATGTGGCAATTGAAATTTTTGTTGATTAAAAACAGCCATACATAAAACATTTCACTGTTAAAGTGTTTAAATGCTAAAACTATGTTTTAATCAAAATGATTAAACTTCTGCAAAATGTAAACAATAATCAGCTTGATATAAAATTAACTCTAGGAAAAGGTACACTCTTTCATGAAATGACTCTTACTATCTTTACAGATTATACAGTACAGAAGTTAAATGAAAAGGAATCATTTTAAAATGTAGTACTACCACACTGTATTTCAGTGATTCACCTAAAATAAAAAGATCTCTATGTGCATGATGTCTAAAGCTCCTGTTTCCATAAGGATTTTCAATTCACTTTTTCCCTTTTGCTCTGAAGGAAAAAACTTTCAGTCCTGTCCTGGGCAGATAATCAAAGCACCTTTTCAATGGACATTAAAGAATTTAAATCCCTCAAAACTTTAGTGGTTATTTTAATTAAAGATGAAAAGTTTGTTTTGACTGTAACTTTACAAAGAGCCTTATTTAGGCCTAGACATGAAGGTGTAATACAGACATTACATACTCAGTTTTGAAAAAGCTGCCTGTCCAGAAAGGGATGAAATCACATTTTATATAGTTAAAACTCACATTTGGATGCATAGGATGTGAATGATTTGAATTCAATATGTAACTGAAAGCTGTTTAAGTGATATACGCCTATGTACTTTTTACATCTGTTGTTGTCAAGACTTGGATATTAGCACATCATTGCTCTGAGACATAATTCAATAATGATATATCAGAACTTAAAAGGAAACAGTGTAAAAGCTAATCATTTTAACTTTCTGAGCACATGTGGAAATGTAAAAATGCATAGCCTTAAAGATTCTAAATTACAAGGGGAGTAGATTTTTTAAAACTAAAACCAGCATAAATCCTTATATTAAGAATCATGAAGTAGAAATAAAAAATGGTATCTTACCTTTATAAGACAACTTCAGCCTGGGTACATTGCTTTTCCCCCGTTGAGAATACACATTTGCTGGCAGCAATACCCCAGAGAGTAGCAGTACAATCCCAATGAGGTAGTCCATGGTCCCAGTGTAGTTGTTCAGTGTCCTTCAGGAAAGACTCCACTCAGTAGAAAACCGGATCCTAAAAGCTGAGGGTTAACAGGTGATTTAGGTCAGTTTCACTGAGAGGCAGACGATTTACAATAGCTGTGCTCACATTGCTCCTGATGTGGAAGTCAAAGCAGAAGAACTTCAGACAACATGGAAAATTCACCACAGAGAGCTGTATGTGGTGGATAATGAGGCTTTGGAAAAAAAATTCACGAGAGCTGTGGTAGTAATGCCTTTTTCTTTAAGCAATTTTTTTAATAGTCACTGGCAGCAGTTAATCCTGTCCTCAGCTCCAGTTGACTGAGAGCCACTGCACAATCAGAAAGAGAGTGAGTGAGTAAGAGCAGCTGTGAGAGAAAGAGTAGGACTGTGTTCTGCTGCGAGCGGGGAGATGACAGAAGATCCCCTCGACAGGTTTTTCTCAGCTCCCTCCCTAGGCAGTCTGACAATAGGAACACAGGCAAGTCTGACCCACCTCTTTCCTCTGGTAGCGTTACAGCACACATAAAAAAACACGTGGAGCAGAGCTGAGGGGAGGCTACTTAACACACTCCCTGCAGTTTCTCGCAAGTGACAAACAGCAGCAGCAATTTACTTCTCTTTCAAGTTTGATGCTGTTCGTTTGTTTTTTATCATGGTTTTATACCTTCCTGAAGGAATTAAAAGAGTGTAATACATTTTTCACACTACCTTCCCTAGTTCCCTAAACTCCTACTGTATCTCATTATCAGAACACACATTGCTATGCTAGACGTCAGGAAACAATAAAATCAAATTTTGATGTAGTCACTCAGTCAGCATTATCCTAATGTACAGAGCTTGTGCCTACATGTAATGTCCTTGTATCTTGCTGTCTCATGCATCATACAGTATATTTATGTCTGGTAATTTTGTGTTTCTTTTTATCTTTCTTGGAATACACTCCTCCCCTTCTCAAGAGAGCTATTGTAAGATATTTAGATATAATAAACATTTGCATCTGTGCGATGGCTTTTTTTAGATTGTTTTGAAAAGAAAAGACCATCTGGATTTAGTTAAATCAGAAATGTACTTTATGTTAATTACCTTAAGGATGCTATCCTATTCTATGATATGATATAAATTAACTCTTTGGCAATGTGTTTAGTTGGCCCTGCCTTTGATTGCTACACAAAGGTGGTTAATTGCTGACCTCAGAATGTAATGCTATGACATTGGCTAATGTCAATCCCCTCTTTTAACCACAGGAAACAGAAACTTGGCCATGAAACATCAAGGATTTATTCTACCTTTGGTCAGTAGTTGGTTTCTGGTATAGTATATGTTTAAAGTTTCATAATAAATGTCATAGGTATTCAGAAATGTAAAATCCTACAAGGAAATGAACAGGGTTAACCAACACAACCTTTTAAGTTCAAAGAGGAAAACAGAAAAGCAGGCCTTGAAAACAGAAGTTAGGCAAAAATGTAAATAATAATCATGTTAGTAGAAGTGTGATTGTCTGGGGCAAAATAAGTAGCAACATTGTGGTCAATGGTTCACTCCAACACATTTATTTTCTAAATAGTAATTATTTCATTAATAGCATTGACAGCGATAACACCAATTACAATAGCAAGAAAAAGAAAATGATTCAATACTATGTACAATATAAGAGCTTTTTTTAAAAAACATAAAGCTGTGTACTATAATGTAAAACTTTTAATTAAGAGAAGAAATCTGTTGTACAATTTCAGTATTTTTAAAAGTAATATTTCAAGCACTTTGCCTCAATGTTAATTAAATACAATATTCTCACATCTGTTTAATTTCTATTCTAGTTCTTTAAACTAGAAGAAATGAAATCCTGTTCTATTGTTTATTGTATTCATGAAAATACATATATTTAGCAATGATATAAATGTATATCACTTCTCTAAGTATTATGTTTAAGCTGTATTTGTGAACATGCAGGTGTCAAAGTATTTGGATTAGTTTATACAATTTCATTTACCTTTTGAAATCTGTTTTACCAGCACTGTTGTGCTAAATAACAGGGACCACTGTATGTAGACAAAACCTTCCTGGTGTCAAATATAAAGCTAAGATTACACAAATGTTAATAATTTAATAATAATTAATAATTAATAATTGAAGTTTATTCATGAATACTAACTGTGAAAAAAGATTCTGGATTTTCTTTTTTATGATCAACATTATGTATAAATGTGAAATGAGATAATAGCTGAAGTGTCATGGCATATGTTATATTAAGGTCAGAGTTGTTATCTTCTTATACTGTACATACACATACATTTTTCAAATTTGTTTTGATTAGAAATGAGAAAATTTGAGTTAGGATGTTTGATAAATTGTGACATTGCTGTCGGCACCAAATTAAAATACATTGACAAGAGCTTCCAGAGCTTTCAACACAGTACATTAAAAATAGAAAATACACTACTGTATAAGCTTTGTCTGCTGAATAAAGAATTAATTGAAAGTATAGTTAGATGCAAATAGTCATGGTCCAAGTTTCCAGCAGGTCACTCTCTGGAGAAAGCTCTTTTAATAATGACAGGAAAACCTGAAGGTTTAGTCAAGCCTTTTTTTTTTTTGGGGGGGGAGCAGAAACTGGTCCCTTTGATCACTGGAACCTTCTTCTCCCATTTATCACCCAGCAAAAGAGCTCCCCAAAGGACAGAAAGCTAGGTGACCTTTTGCCAGCTCTTTTTTCTTAAACACTATCAAGCTAAATCCTTTGCAAGACTTCTTTGTTAGCTATGTCTAAAATACCAATGAAATTCTACACCACCTAGAATGTGTTCTATGTAAATTAGAAATTTAAGGTTAAAAACAGTTGCTTCCAATTTCATTTGACCCAAAAACAGGTTAACAATCTCTTTTAGGCAGAGGTAAATGGTTAAAGTGGAATACAAGTCTACAGTAGATCATTATAATATTGCTACATTCAATCTGTCATCTACTACCTTTTAAAGGTTTTTTACTTTCCTTTGAAGATATTAATCTCTAAGGACATGAGTTCAGGTTTTGCTCAGGTTACAAATAGTATGAGTTTTGCATTCTCAACATAACCTTTAGCCAGAGTATCAAACATTCAGCACATAGGACAGGATTAAAAAAAAAGGCACTTCTCTTTGAGGCATTCATAAAACAAGGTCAAGGGATTTAAAGTGAGATATTCTCTTGTTTCCCCCAGGGCATGGCTAAAACAATAGAAAATTATTGAAATAGAGTGCAAGGATCATCCTCCTAGTCATTTCATTAGTTTCTGTGGTGAAATCACAGGATATCACCACATTTTAACTTCCCTTTGTGCCTCAGTGCTCCTGAGGTGCGCAGCTTCATACACAGTTAAAGAGCTATGTTGTTTCCTGATCATATTGCTGTGCTGTGCCAGCTGTTTCAAAATAATTTCATTATAGCTGATGAACACCTTTCTTACAATTGTTTAAAAAATCACATCATTTTAAAAATCTAATCCCCTTTTCAATAATTTAATTTTGTCATGGTGTAGAAAGTGTTTTAGTTATTAATTTAACACAGATTTCTGTAGCCAGCCTAGAAAGTTGTTTTTTAATGGAAAATGATACCTAAAAATATCCAGGCAACAGAAGAGTTCCAAAGACTTAACTAGTATTTTAGATAAGAACCTTATGGACAGCAATGATCAAATTTAGCTACGACGACACATACTTTATTGCATATTAATCTTATGCAAAATATCAGTGCTCCACTGTTCATCAATACATCAAGTTCTGCTTGTACTGGTGAAATATCAGCAGTAATCGATTCAGCAGTACTATGCAGCATCAGCACAAAATCTGTTGAATTGGACTAATGAACAGCAATCGTTTTAATTATTTTAAGTTTCAGATCTTAGATGCATGTTAACTTGGTGGACCGGAACTCTTCCCTCTGGATCAGAATTTCCAAACCAGTACCCCAGTGCAGTGATGTTAAACTGAGCTCATACTTAGTTGGTCATTGAAGATCCTATGCCCCTTCCCACTGGAGTAACTTTGGTGTCTTGCCTAAAATTCCAATCTAGACTTGAACAGTGTGGCCTACCGAAAGTCCCCTTTTAATTCAACTGGTGAAACAATTTCTCACTTGTCTCTTCTTGAGCCGTTGTGTAGTGGGGTTGCTGACAGATAATGGCTCTCCAATGGCTCTACAGTGGTGGATGAAGTGGGTTCCTTCTATATGTAAAGTGCCTTTAATAACTAGGAGATGCTTTGGGATGAAAGAAATAGGGAAATTAAATTATTAATCTTCTGTATAGACTTAAGTGTACACCTTGGCAGAAGTCTAAAGGTATTCCCAAAGAGAAAATATTTAGTGTGATAAAATAACATACTGTATTAATGCAGTAATGTGATGTGACTAGTTGAAAAATTAAATGTAAACAATTGTAATTATTCTTCATGTACCTTTAGCATTGTAAAACAGGAACTAAAAGCATGCACTCTTAATATGAGGTAGCCATTTATAAAATGCTTCATGGCACTTATTCAAATGGATATTAACATTTGTTTGAATAAAAAATATAAGTAAAATATTTTTTTTGTTAAAGAAACTAAGGAAGTGGATTTCCGACTAAGTTCCTGAAAACTAACATGTCTTAACATGCATTGTGGCATCCCTTGTTGTCTTTCAATGCATCATAAGACATTCAGTCCTTCATTGTCTTTTTTTTTACTTTCCCTCTGATTAAAATGTTCTGTTCTGAATTTGATTTTCTGTTCTTTACCCAATTTCATACTTTTGGCTTGCATTAAGTGGGGGAAAATTTATTCAACACTATCAGTGTAAAGACTTTGTACATACAAGTGTTTTATTGTTTTAGATAATAAGAAAGTTTACGGTTATAAATACTGTATTTATAGACAGTACTTTAATTTCTTCCCATTTAAAGGTAGTCACAGTCACAATTTAGAATACTATCTTCACTTCATTATTGTGACCAAAAAGTTTTTGAGGACTGTTTACAGTTACATAACTACAAACACGTCTCTAATCTGCCATGAACTATTAGTCAAGAAGATATCTACAGTAA